TAGGTTCGATCGGCCATTTGTTTAATGTCGTACGATTATTTGGAGTCAAAAGTTAACCCGGATGGTAGCAAGGTGACAGAGTGGGTAGTTTGAGAGCTTGGTTATTTTACTTAATTTTTTAGTGTTTTTTTTTTTGTTATTTTAATTTGATTAAAAGTTTTCTTTGAATGATTGTAAAATTTGATGATGGTAAAAGACAAAAATAAAATAATTATAATTTAAATGTAAAATTTTATCTTATTAATTATTTTAAGTTATTTTATTTTAATTTACTGGATATTAAATTCCTAATTTTATCAAGTTAAATTCTTTATTTTCAATCGGTTTGTTTTTATCAAGTATTTTTTCACTTTTATTTTGAGAGTTCATAGATTGAAAAGGCTTAAGAGTGGTATTTTTAAATAATTTTTTTTAATTATCACCTAATAATCAACAATTAATATTAATATAAGTATATAAAATATATATTTAAAAATATTTATTAAAATTTTAATTGTTTTAGTATTATTTAGTCACTAATAAGTGATCATTAACACGACCTTTTAAAATAAAAAAAATATATTTTGATAACTGTTTATTTTGAATGAATATATAGAATTATTTATAAGTAAATTACAAATACACTTTTTGAGATTTACTTAAAATACAGATTGTCCCATATAATTTCAAAAATTATAAATACGTCCTTGTTCGAATTTGTTATTTAACAGAATTAACTAAAAAATGAAATTCATAATTGCTCTTTTGTACAATAATAAAATTATCTAAATTATTAATTAAAATATATTTTCAATATCATTAAAATTATTAATTAATTTGATATTTGTTAATAAAATGGCCATTTGTTATAAAATTCAAAACTTCACGGATAAGATTTAATTTATATTTTAAATAAACCTTAAAGGATGTGTTTATAATTTATCCAATTAAAAAATAAAAAATTATAAAAATAAAAAATAGTGTTACTTAGATCAAATTTGAACAATAAATCACTATAAAATATCTTTAAAATTTTGTAAATCATGAAGGAAATGTTACAATTTTTTTCAAGAATTTTATGTAATTCAGCTTGGGCCAAATTTTTTCTTCTTTTCTAGTAATGTTAAAGGCGGAAAAAGGCGGTCACTTCGGCTATGCCTAATCACTTTGTGCAGACTATGGAACTCCCTCGCCACACCTGTGACCGAATTGAGAAACTCAACAGAAATTTTCTATGGGGCAGCACTGACACTCGTAAGAGGGTACACCTGGTTAACTGGCATCAAGTCTGCAAAAGCAAGAAGCATGGAGGATTAGGAATCAGAAACATCAGAGCTCAAAATTCTGCTCTTATTGCTAAGCTAGAGTGGAAACTTGTCTCCAACTCTGAAGAGCTTTGGTGTACCATCCTCAAAACTAAGTATCTCAAACACCACTCTCTCTCTAATTGGCCCAGTGATAGGAAAGCCTCCCATATCTGGCGCAACATTGTTAAAAATAGAATTGTTTTGGAACAGAACATTAAATGGAATGTTGGGACAGGAGAACAGATTTCTTTATGGACTGATTGGTGGTGTGGAGACCAACCCCTGAGCCATACAAACCAGGGAGCTCATCTTGATGCAGCTACCAAAGTCAGCTCCATCCTTGACGAAGAGGGCAACTGGGACTTAACTTCTATCCAGCACCTTCTAACCCCTCAAAATATAGATGACATTCTTAGACTTCATAGACCCAGGTATGTTACTTATAATGACACTCCCCATTGGAGAGGCTCTTCCAGTGGCAACTTTCTACAGCTGCAGCCTACCAAGCTCTTGCCAACACCGATTCTGCTGGAACCAACTGGTATGGGATATGGAAAATCCAGGCTCCTCATAAGCTTAGACATTTCCTTTGGCTCGTCATGCATGAAAGACTGCTCACAAATCATATGAGGGCTATTAGACATCTCTCTAATTCAGACATCTGCCCCAGATGCCACTGTACTAGAGAAGATATGCTTCACCTCTTCATTAACTGCCCCAAGGCTAAGGTTTTATGGGTAAATCTGAAGAACCTCCATTGGTGGCACTTAAGCCAACACAAAACTCTGCAGGACTGGATTAGGATAAATATCAAGAGCAAGGAACTCATTCATGATATCCAATGGCCAACAGTTTTTTTGACAGCCTTATAGACTATTTGGAAATAGAGAAATAAAGAAGTTTTTGATAACTCTACCCAACCTCCCCACATCAGTGTGAAATTCATACTGAATAAGGCTTTGGAAACTCAGGCAGCCTTCCAAAATTCACTTCACCCCAACTTTAAGGAACTTTCTCTAATGTCATGGTCTTGTCCTCTTGCAGGTAAGCTCAAGATGAATACTAATGGATGCTCTAAAGGGGATCCAGGGCAATCAGGCTATGGAGGTCTGCTCCGAGATGAAGTTGGTACTTGGATCTGGGGCTACTATGGTTACTTAGGTAACTGTCACAGTTTGGAAGCTGAGCTATGGGGCATCTACCGCGGCCTTACCATCATTCTGCAAAAAGGCTTGGCAAACATACAAATTGAAACAGACTCTCAGCAGACATTGGAGCTTATCCAAGGTGGAGCTGGGGAAAACTCTCCCTACAGGGCCCTAGTTGAAGATGCCAATTTCCTGCTTCGAAGATGCAACTGCACTATAGAAACAATTCCCAGGGAAGCAAACCAGTGTGCAGATGCTTTGGCTAATTTAGGAGTAAATCAACAAGAGCACCTCATCTTGAAAGAGGACCCTCCTGTACCTATCCTATCTTTGTTAACTGCTGACTTGCTTAAAGTTGGCTCTGGAAGGGATTAATTTCCCTAGATCCTCTGTTGTTTTGTTTGTTTAAACTCTTCTCATGAATCAAAAAAAAAAAAAAGACTCATGGAATAGTTACAATAAGAAGTCTCAGAGACAACATCAAGCACATCAGTATACGTAAGGATCAAGAGAGATCTCGTTGTTGCATAATTTAGGTTCCGTTTGGTAGAATTTTATAAATATGATTTGAGAGTATGAGTTTTATTTTGAGTTTGTAAATTGTGGAATTATGATTTGAATGTAAAAAATTTGTTTGGTTATAATTTTTTAATAGAGTGTTGAAAGTTTAACTTGACATGTGAAGTAAGAAAATTTGTTTGGTTATGAGTTTTAGAAAGAGTTTTCAAAACTTAATTCAAATTATTATAACTCATAACAAAACACACTACTTTCACACTATTGAAAATTCTGATCACCACTCATAACCAAACTCTTTTTAAAATTCAATTAAAAAAATTTATTATTAATAGAAAATAACATTAATCAATTTTTTAATAGAAAATACTACAAAGGAAATAATTTTTTTTTCAAAATAAATATTTCAAAAAATTTAAATCATAAATATTTAAATAATTTAAATAATCTAAAAAATTTAATAAGTAAAAAATTAAAATAAATATTCAAAAAATTTAAATCGTAAAAATTTAAATAATTTAAATATTCAAAAAATTTAAATAATTTAAAATGTTAATATTTTTAATTTAAAAACAACTCTACACTCAAATCGTAACCAAACACATAAAATAAAATTTTAGTAGTAAATTATTTTTACAATTCATAACCAAATACATAACTTGAAATTGTAATATTTTGAAATTAAAATATTTAAAAATATTCAAAAAATTAAAAAAATCGTAACATAGTTAAATATTAAAATATTTAAAATCTTAATAAAATTAAAATATTGATTTGAATTGAGTTTTGAAAAGAATTTTAAATTATGTGTTTAGTTATGAGTTTTGAAAAGTAATGATTATGTTTTGAATTGAATTTGAGAAATTGATATAGAATTATAATTTGAAAACTCCAAACAAACAACACACTCAAATCAATTGATAGAATTATATTTTGAGAGGCTTACCAAACAGAGCCTTAGATCATGCAACACGCCATCCATGGGAATGTTGCTGCGCAGCAGTATCAGTGGCGCATCAACATGGGCCAAAATGAATAATATTAGAGATCCCAAATATTTTATTAAAAATATTACTACATGTCTCACAAGACCCACACAATATGAATCTCATATAAATCTCACACTTATGTGAATTATTTGATAAATTTTTTAAAACCTTTAGCATTTTTGGAGCCAAAAATTATTTTTAAAATCTACTTAACCCATTTTGTTGCGCTGCTATTACTGCTGTGCAGGGTGCACAACAACATCCCTGAATCCTCTAAAACACTCGACCGGCAATCTCACAATCAATACTCACAGAGGTCCAAAGGTGGCAATGAAAGAGGCATATTAGGTGTTTTTCAATAGCTAAGAAAATCTTTAATCCACTATACGGGTAGGATGTTGCATAACATTTTTTAGATTCCGAAATTGGTTGTTGCACAAAATCAACAAAACCAAAAACCAAAAACCAAAAAATGGAGAAACTGAACATAATAATATTGTTTCAAGCCTACAAATCTTTTCATTTTTTTTTTTTTTTTTTTTGGGGGAGGGGGGGGGGGGGGGGATAAAGTACATCATGATATATCCTGACTTTTGAATTATAGATTTGAGTAAAAATTTAAAAAGGAAAATGAATATATAAAGGAAATGTAAATAACAAAGGTTTTAATTTTTCTCCACTTTCCTCACCTATTCCTTTCAAAATACCTACTCAAATTCAAAATCCAAATACAATCTCAACAGTCTTCAAACAACAAATACCTTCTTTTTCAGAGAATTCAGAAACAATGCTCGCGGGATCCACAGAAAATAGTAAAGAGCCCTAAGATCCTGTATCAGTGTTTCGAACATCTCAAAACACATTTGAAGGCCAGCCACAACAATGACTACTATGTCAACTTCCCAATGCAAAACTGCAAGACAATCTTACATTGCCACTAACAGGTGCACGGGCAAGTTAGAGACTAGAGAGTCTCAATGAATTATAGCCTTTACCCAACATGAAGGGCCATGGCACGGGGGAAGAACCTAAAATAAGCACTAGAGCACACCTTTCCAACATGCTAAAACAATGTACAAATTAATAAACATGGACTAAGATGTTATTTTAAATGGATTAAAATGCCAAACCACACCTCACCAGTGGCCATCAATGTAGAAACCACAGTCCACTGGAAACGAAAGACGACACTAAAGATCTTGGATACACACAATGTTATGTGAACCAAAGATCCCCTAACAATTATCTTGAGCCAATGCCAATCCCTCTGAGATGTCACTAAGGTGAGGAGAAGCTCTGACGAATTTGAAACATCAAGCAAATAATACCCTCATATCAACCTTGTGAAATAAAATGTTACAGAAAGTTGTGTATGTTGAGAGAGAGAGAGAGGAAAAAAAGCAAAACAACCATCCATCCCTTTTTTAATCCCCAAGCATCAACCAACCGTGATAATATTTGCGGATGACATGGCATGAGCTCAATTCAAAATGCGGGACTGGATGACATAACATGTACATTAGTCCATATCAAGGAACTCCATCCTCTTCCTCATCGAACCTTTCAGGTCTGTAGCCTCCCTTTCTGCTTTTTGTGCCTGTTGAACGTACATCATTATAACATACAGTTGGTACAAAGTGAGGCAGAACACACAAAAAAGACATCTACAAAACAAGAAAAGATGACACTAAATAGAATAGAAGAACAAACACTTCCACATGGGTAGGTAATTTAAATTTTCTTTTTCAAATCACTTCCACACATGGTGACTCTTTCCACCTACCATGCCATTGGTGACTAATTAAAAGTTGCAGGTCAATTGTTTCCCTGAAAGTAAAATCTTGAATAACCCCTTAATTTCTTAAAGACGAGCCTAAAAGATCTACAAACCTAGTATCGTCACCTGTGGGAGATGGGAGTCAAAAACAAACATTCTAAGAACCAAATCACTCCATGCTAACCCAATGAATGAAACTAGAAATCCTAGTATTGTCTCCTGGTGGAGATGGGAGTGCCATTGTAACCCAGGCCACAGTGAACAGATAGACATATTAGAAAATGCTCATGTGAGCAAGACCCAAATTGTGTTTAGCAGAGAAAGAGGTGAAGAAAAAGATGATGATAAAGCGGAGAGGGGCAAAAAGGATTTTCAAAAAAAAAAAGTAAGGTCAGATATATATATATATATATATATATAGAGAGAGAGAGCTTTTTACGTCTGTCATTAACGATGTTAACTGTGCACTTTACTTTATCAACCACAAGGGGTTTGACCCCAAAAAAAAAAAAAATATTTCCCAAAATGGCTTTTGCTCACCTTAATATTCATACATATTGTCTATGCATATAAACAACACTATATATGCATGTAACGTTTGTGTACGAAGGTGAAGAAGGTGCCTCTGCAGATCTTGTCTGGGTTTAAGCATTTTTCAGAATGGTGAAGGGGCTGCTAATTTCCAACGGTGGCTGTTTTTTTGCGGCTGAATTACAGAGAAGTTGAAGAAAGACATATTGAGGGGGTTAGGTCAGTGGGTTCGTCAGTTTACCAGAGTTGTGGTGATGGGTTTTGGGGGGTGCTGGGTCAGGTGTGTTTTTAGAGAGAAAAAGGGCTTGTTTGGTTTGTTTTTCAGAAAAATTTTTGGGAAAAATTCTCTATAAACAAATTTTCAAGAGTAATCAAACCAAACACATTTTTTCAAAAAAAAATCTCAAAATTTTGTTTGGTTACCTACTTTCCAAAATCAATGTCTCTCCTACACATTAAATCAATCACTTTTTTTAAAATTCTCTCCCCAAAACAATTTTCCAAAACCATTTCTAAAAAAAAGCAAACCAAACAAGTTTTCGTACTTTTTATCTCAAAAACTACTCTACAAACACAAACCAAAATACCCAAAATGTCTTTGGATCAATTTTAGAGGGAGAAAAATGACAAAATAGAGAGATAGGAAGAAAATACAAAGTCTCAGAGTGGTCATGGGTGAGACGTTGAAGATGGTGCTGTTGGCTGGATGTGGAGGAAGAGAAAAGAGAAGAGAAGAGAAAAATAGAAGGTTTACATTTTCTATTTTTGCTCCCCCAACTTGGTCACATACGCATTTTCCATCCAAATTCCAGATGTTCATTATCAATTAATCCTATTAGAAACAAATTCCAAAATAAAGGGCAAACAATATGAACTACTAATGTGATTTGCCCTTCAATTATTGTCTTATAAAATATGAAACACAGTTGGTACCAAATCTACCCTCTTCTTTTTTGTACGAAAGGCATTTTCAACCTCAATTAGCAGACAATAGCCCTTGAAGAAGAACTCATCATCAGTAAATAAAGAGGGGGAAAGGAAGAAAGGAGGGAGGGCAAGGAAAAACAGAAATAGATTCAAATTACCCTATGTTCCACTTTCATTTCCCACATCAACACTTTGCTTAAATAATTATACAATTATAAATTTATAATTCAGCTTTACACAAGTCACAACCCATCTCACCATGTCATCATTCACATGGTGTTTGATCTGCTAATTGAGCAGTCAACATAAATATAATAAAATTAAAATACTGAACAATTTTAAAAAATAAATTGTAAGTAGCAGAATGATGACCAGAAAACTATTTCATAGGTGATAATTATGTTATATTCTTTAATTGGAAACAAGGAAATGTGAGCTTCAAAGGGGTGAGACGAACTATAGCTGCTACTCTTCCAGAAGTCAACAATTAATATCACATACCCTAAAAACTTAATCAACAGCCAGAGAACAATGCAATGAAATAATGCAGCAACAAGTAAGATGGCCCCTCAGAGGAACACTGTGGTAGTGCATCATGATATTCTAAAATCTTATGAGAAGTGCGCTTTCAGAGAACATCAAAAGTAACACTTACCCGTTTTATCTCTGCTTCTGAAACACGAGTCATATGTGGGGGAAGTTCCTCCTTCTCCAAGTCCTAAGCAATAAAAACAAAATTTAAGAAAGTGTGAGGTAGGTTATTATAGAGAACTTCTGCAGAAAGAGAAGGCAACAAATAAAAATTCATACCAGCTCGCCGATTAAGACAACATTCTCCCCACGGATTACGTACAGACCTAACGGGATATCACAATATATATCACCTACAATAACTCGCTCACACGCACCTTCAAGAACAGCGTTGGCTGAAATAAGTGCAGAGCCTTTGTCAGCTTAGTTAGCACTGAAAATATTAGCATGACAAACCTAAGTAAATGAGTACAAATATGGTACCAAATTGATCAAATGAACGAAGTATTCCCAACAGCTTTCTACCATCTCGAAGCAATACAAGAAGCTTCTCTGCAAAGAAAGACAAAAATTATTTATTAAAAATAAAATAAAATAAAAGATCATAAATGCCAAAGAACTAAAAGGAGGGAGGAAAACCACTGGCATCTCACAACTTCGAAGCCAATCTGTATCTACTTCCATCCTAAATTTCCACCAAATAGTTCATGTATGCAGTCACATGTTTGAAATAGGTACAATTTTTGCAATCAAGTAAACTGAATGAACAATTAGCTGATAAAAGTCCTCTTATGCAATAAAAGTTCCTACATTTGCAATGTCAAAGCCCCACGTGAACTTCAAGGCTAAACTTGAGGCCCTAAAAAATGAAACTTGTTCTTCAGCACAGAATGTGCACATAGTACTTACTACCCCTTTTTTTGCATGTTGACAGAAACAAATACATACAGTGCTGCAATTGCATCTAGTGACGCAATAATGTAATGATATAACAAATTTTATGTATATGTAATATATTGCCACGGAATTTCAATTTGCCACATATGATTTAATGCATACATATCTTTTACAAATAAAGCTAGATTTATTTTTTTCAATTTTCTTTGGTGTCAAATATAGATGGATGCATAGATGGTAACTCTGTAACAGTAAAGTTGGCATCCTTGGAACAAAACTACTCATCAAACCCAGGATTTTCCATGTTCAATTTGAAAAATCAACGATTCAATTTCAAAAAATGGAAAAGGAATTTAAGAGATCAGCATAATCATGCTATTATACATAAAGAGTCCTCCTTAATTGTGACTGTCAATCGGGCAATACAAGCCCAAAGCTCACTCATTTGGCCCAAGCATTTTTGGGCTAAGTTTAGTGAATTTGAGCTGAGCCAGCTTTTTTGAAAATTAGGCCCAAATTCACTTTTGAGCTGAACCTGATCCTGACCCTGTGCTAAAAGCCTAATTGCCTAACTCAGCCTGAGCTAGACCCAGCTGAACAATGATAATATTTTAGGTTTGATAAACTAAAAAATATATATATTAACTTTGGGTCAGCCCAAAGCCTGATCAAATAACGTGGTTTGAGCTCAGTATAAGCAAGTTGTTTGGTGATGAGGATGAGCTTAGGTCTGAGCTTGAGAGAATAACTTTGGGCTGAGCTTGAGCAGCCTTATCCATAAATCAATATAGATACATTATAGAAAAGTTTAGGAATATGTGATGGGGAAGTAAAAAGTTCCTACTAAATTATGTACTTTTATAGAAGTATAGATGGTTTGACTTTCTTCAAAGGAAGCTTACAAGTCTAGCTTCCCTAGGCCTCATGTACACATGAATTGCACCCCTTTTTTGTTGCTTTTAGTGGACTGTTAATCAACCAAAACAATTGTTGCACCAAGAAAGATACATGATACAATTAGACATGCTAAAACAACCAACTGTTTCAAAAAGTAGAGAAAGACACATTGAGGACGTTACAATTAGAAAAATGGTCCAAATTTTACTTCATAACAAATCTGATTAAAAATTTCCCTTGACTATCATATTCTTATCCAACACTAAAACAAACATCCGTGTCTCAAAATAACTAGTGTCAGCAACATATTAGCGACATTTAAGCTCAATAAGTAAAAATATAATTGCAACAAGACATCTCCAAGCCATGTCCACTGTATCACTAAGCATGTCCAAGAAAGTTGTGCGCGACACCAATATAGACATGGCTGTTATTCATGACTCTTATGGTCTCCTGAATCTCCCCACAAGCAGACTATTCAATTTCCCAGTCATGAAGTTCCTATGCATCAAAGGACATTACCTAGTGTTGGTTCCCGTTAATTGAGGGTCCCCATTAAGCTTTAAATCTCTCTAAACTAAACAAGTTTTTCTTTTTCTTTTCAAAAATTCAACTTCCTCTGTACCTTTGTGAGCATATCTTCAGTTTACCATCAGTTTATATTGGATTAGCTTAAAAACACAAACAAGCATTAGAAGCATAGATGATTTCACAAAAAACATGAGCAATGAACTGATAAATGGCAAAAAATCATCAACACTTATCCTAAAACCCGGTTTCAAGCAGTGGCAACTCTAGAACTATTGGTTAGGATAGTCATTGAAAAACTAGATTAGAATTTATGCGAAAGAAATCACACTTGTCATCCACTTTCAATAAATCTCCTAATTTAAACTTTTTAAATCTAAAAAAATTAAAATATTGACACTATTATTTCAACAAAAAGATATTAGATACATGGAGTATTACAATTGCTCTCAACAAGTTATAAGACTCATATCTATCTTGAAGGAGCTTTAAGCCTTTTTTTAAAAAAATTATTTGTGCCGTAATTCAACATAAGTTACATTTAATGAGAAATTTCGGGTATTATTATTTTTTTATGTAAGCATATTTTTTTTAGTCAACTGTTCATATTCAGAAATAAAGTGTATAAAACCTGCAATTTGGGAATGGCCTACATCACATCAACTTTAAATATATATGATACACTTCATTTATAGACTTTTTTCTGGTTATCTACTTTTGTCGAAGGTATTACTTTTAGAATTGAAAGACATTATGAGTAAGTGTGCATAGTTTGGAGTAGATGAGTTAGGAGTTCAAGATTTATGAGATTGCGAATTTGGGTATTCAAATTATGAGAAGTGTATTGATTAATACATAGGCCCTGTTTGGTGCAGCTTAAAAGCTGCTTATTTCAACTTTCAGCTTAATTTAAGCTATTTTGATGTGTTTGGTTTAGTTTATAGTTTATAGCTTATAACTTTTGGAAGTCAAAAATCAGCTTATTCTTTGAGTGGGGCAGGAGATGCTTAATTTATAAGTCAGAAATCAGCTTATGTTCATAGTTATAAACTATAAGCTGTTTAAGTATAAGTTATAAGTACTTTTTCTCAGCTCTACCAAACAGGGCTATAAATTAACTATATATATATCCAAAGAAAAAACACCCTGTCTTTCTTGTGCAGCTGCCACTGGTTTCTGGTTTCTGGTTTCAAGTGCATATGAAATTCCATTATTTGAGTAGGTTTGTCATAATTTGTTTAACATAATTCTTCTTTTCAATTATTTGCCAACATTTTTGTTTTTCATTTCTATCAATGGTGAGTTCATTCTAGGAAGTAGGCTAGTTTGAGAAACAAAATTTTCACAAAAATGCCAAAAACAAAATTTCAGCACAGTAACATTCTAAAAATACTTAAAAACTTTTTGACATAATATACATGTTGAAAACAGCCCAAAAACAAGAACTTCAAGATAATAGCTTTCTAAAAGAAAACACAGCACATGTAACAAAATATTCAGTAGATAATATAGAAAGAGTTATGAATCTTACTATCAAGATAGCTTGCAAGAGAGGTTGATAGATAGATATCTTCTGGTCCTGCCCAAGACATTGAGCACAAAATTTTTCGGTATCTAAAAAATCACCGAAAAATCTTCCGAAATCGAAGCAAATTGCATTGGCAGCTCAGATTCTCTCTGATACTTCTCTCCAGAAACAAAAAAGAAGAGGGAAAAAAAAAACCCTAAAACACAGTAGATTGAAAATCCTCGAACTCAACCCCAGACCTTTCAATTTCAACGATAGCAATAACTAAGCCCTAATTGATAATTAAACTTCGGTACCACAGTTCTTGAGATCTTGAAAAAAAAAAAAGCTAGCTTTGATGCAAAAGATTCTGACTTTGGTTTGTCTTCCGGATTAATGGTTTTGAAAAAACAAACCCAGATCCAATCGCACCGGAAGAATTTGAAGAGACAATCGGAGAAAAAACAAATAGGATGGAAAGCGCGAGAAAGGAAGAGAAATGCGGGAAAAATTTTGAGGGAATTGGATTGGATTGGAGAGACTAAAAACTAGGGTTTGGACTTCCCCATGAACTCGCGCCTCCGGAGGTATATATTTGTCACTACTACCTCCGTCCGCACTATTACTCTTTGATTGATGATAGGCACAAAATATTAATATTTGTATTATAAATATTATAATACATATAAATAAATAAAATAAACATAATCAATGGGTTTAGTTTCAATTTTTTAAATTTAAAAAAAAGTGTATGACTTCTGTCTAGTTTGGGATCAGACTAGACTGTGCTGTTGGGCTTGTGAGGGCCACTACGGGTCCCGTTTTAATAATCTGAATCGTTCAATGTGTAGAACTCGTCGAGTACTATATGTTTGTAAAAAATCACGTTGATCGGATATCGATGGCTATATGATCAAATCAGTTTCGTATTAAAAAAATAGACGGTGAACAAATTAACGGTTTACAAAAAACTGTTTTGATCACATAACTATCAATATACGATCAACATGATTTTTTATAGGCATATAGTACTCAACGATTTCTACACATTGCACAGTTCAGATTATCAAACGGGACCCGTGGTGGGCCCCTACGGGCCCAACAGTACGGTCCAATCCGATCCCAGACTTGACAGAAGCCATACCCTTTTAGAAATTAAGTTTTTTATTTTTTTGTGTTTTTTTCTTTATAAGAATATTTTTAAACTTATAAATTATTTTTGGCTTTTTTTTTCTCACAATATAACGATTAGTATGTTAATTGTTAAATTATAATACAGGTCAATTGTTAAATTATAATACAAGTCAATGACTCTATAAATTCAAACTTGAAATCTTACTCGCCTTAGTACTTAGGCTTCCTTTGTTTTTAGAGGTAAGATGGAGGGGATTGATAATGAGGAGATTGATAGTGGAGAGATTATTAGTGAGGAGATTAGTAAAATTGTGTTTGTTTTTTATAATTGCTAATGTGGGGATTGTTAAATTATTTTTATATAAAATAATAAAACAAATAAAATTATAATTTTTACTTAACAAAAAATACAAAAACATTAAACATTAATGTACGGGAAAGAAATAAACTTTCTCGTATAATCCTGTTGATCAAGTCTGCGCTCCTCTGTACGTCGTCGCTTTATCACCTGAAAACTCAAACGTGAGCTAGTCGGCGTGTGTGTGCCGGAAACCTCTCCGATGCCTAAATCAGTAGGCTTGATAAATAGACAAAAACCCTGTGTATTCAGAAAGCAAAGTTGTGTGTTACCTCTCCAAAGGTGATGTTTGTGAGCTTTTATAGGTTTCGTGTGGCATAATCCTAGTAGGACTTCTATTCTTCCATGCAGAGTCCTCCTAGGATTCATACTCCTGAAAGATAATGCTTATCCTCCAATACCCCCCTCACTGCTTAAACCAAGTGAGAGGGTTATTACCATGGCCGAACTCCAACATGACCGAAGTAATCATGGCTATATTGAGCTGTAGAGTAGGCCGAACTATCCTTAGTTCGGTTCCTCCTTTTACTCCTCCTCATCTCGGTGTTCTCATGTACAAACCATGGTGTGTTTAGACCGATCTATCGAGTAGCAAGGTTCTGACCGTTCTAACCACAATACGCCATGACCGGACTAACTCTGAGACCGGCCTAACTCCAAGTCGCTTCCGGACCGGAGTAACTTTACATTCCTCTTGGGCCGGAGTAATTTTTTACCTCTCTCGGGCCGGAGTAACTTTACGCCCTTTTTATCCAGCCCTTCGTACTTTGGGCCATAATGACCATCTCATAGCTCGGCTCAATTTTCACAAAAATTACCCTCTCAATTGCCCCTTAATTCCATTTGCACAGCATGATTGGGATTACTTGTTTATCAGCCAATGCTGAATTATTTAAGCCTTTTCAGCAGAGCTAAAAAACCCTTTAGCCTTTCCAGCCAAGCTAAAACTCTTAAGCCTTTCAGCCGAGCTAATTTTACACTGAGCTCTGCTTGTCCGGTCATGGCGTCTCTTCAATCACAGCAACTGAATCGTTTCTTATTCCAATGACACGTGGCAGGCACTGATTGGCTCTCTGCAACTGTCCCGCCGCCCTCGTACCTTGCAAAATTTGAACAGTTCCCGCCCTTCCACTTTCGTCCTTTTCACAAAACAATCTCCTCATCTTTGGTTTCACCACCGTATTTTTTATTTCCCTCATTCTTTCTATCAAGCTCCATTGCTCTCCAACTTTTGCAACTGTGAAACTTGTTTCGTGTGCCTCTTTTACTGTCGTTGCTTCCATCTCCAGGTCTTCTACTTCAATCTGGTAAGCAAATCCATTTTTCTTGCTCTGTTTGTTTTCGTATTTGTTCAACCCATATCTTGTTTAGTGTGCTTTCTGTAAACACTTTTTCTGTTTTGCTTTGCTTCTGTACTTTTTGGGAAAAAACTAAACAATAGAACACATGAGTACATGTAATATCCTGTAGAAAACTAATTTTTGATCCAGAATCATGATGCAACCGAACTAGGATACTGTTTAAGCTAGGTAAAAGTCTAGTCAACTTACAACCGGACTTACACTTCATGTTTACACCAGTAGCTTTGAATAAGTCAAACCACTTCTTGCTAGACCTTAGCCGAGGTAACCAACCGAACTAGGTTCGCACTTAGCATACCGAGATACCTGAACTCTAACCGATCTAGGCCTTTGGGACTAAACCAGCTTTCTTAGTTTTTTAGATGACACTCAGAAAGCTGCCCCTAGACGATCAATCGATCAAACAGAACCGTTTCCACAACCGAGATATCCAGACGCTTGCTAAGCCCGAACTAACAAAGCCCTGCTCAAACCGAGCTACCAATCACCTTGCAAAAACTGAGTTAGAACCTGTAGCATCCTCATAGCCGAAGTAAGCTCCTATTTTTTGTACTTTTATTTTGCAGCACGGTCCAATGATCTGTGCTTAACCCCCTTGTTTTCTACTTTGCAGACTTAGGTTGCCCAGGCACTCATCTGCGCGCTCAACCGAGCTACTAAGAACAAGTTTTGGACCGAACTAATTTATTCGTAAATTATACAATAAATGGGGAAGTATAGGTATCTAGTAGACACTCCGGGCAGCCTAGCCGAATTTAGAAAAGACTACAATATACCCGATGACGTCCACCTGATTTTAGCCGAAAAAGATGTCATACCTTGGGGCAATGAAGGCTTTGTCCCCTTCACCCTTTTGTCCATAATTGAAACTGGACTACGATTTCCAGTCCAACCCTTGATTTGTGAGTTTCTTAGGCAAACCAGACTATGTCCAACCCAACTGTCCACCAATTCCTACCGTATAATAATGGGTATAGCCGAACTGAACCGCCAAGCCAGTTTGAACCTCGGTCTGACCGAAGTCTTTCACCAATACTCCATTGGTTCGAAGGAAGACGGCTGGGTGTATTATCTTAGAATACGCCGTCGTCGTGAGAAAATAATAAAGAATACACCGGATAAACATTTAAACGACGACGATTTTTTCTGGGTGTCTGGGAACTTTGAGGATCACCAAGCCCAGATTCCTGGCCGAAGGATCAATTGGAAAAAAGGAGAACCTGGTATACTTACTTCGGTTTTCTTGCGTGCTTTTTTATATTTCGGTTTTTTAATCTTTCAACCGAACTAACAGTAGTCTTTTTTCGCAGATTCTGCCCACCTCCATTCTTTATACAGCTACCCAAATCTAGCGACTTTGCGCGCCGCACTACGGTATCCAGAACGTAGTTGGGCTAAGCTATTAAAGTTCAGGCCGACCTACAGATACAGCGGCCGCCGAAAAGCAAGAGTGACCGACTTTCTGCTAGAGGAGGCCCCAGAACCGGACCCAACCTTGCCAGAAATCAGACTAATCCCACTAACTGCTAAAGAAGAAATGGCCAAAAGAAACAGAGTTAGGGCCCTCTTGACCGAGACCAACAGACCCGAAGTACCGCCACCAAGCCAAACGACTGAGACCGTAGTAGCCCTTCCGTCCCAGCAGCCATCCTCATCTCGGGCGAACAAGCGTGCCCGGACAAGCCAAACCGAGCACCGCCTAGTCGACGAAGACGAGTCCACCCTTCCACCAAGTCCTCAACCCATCCTTCAACTGGAGCAATCTGACCGAGCTGACTCCTCCAAATGGGCTCCAATTCTCACCTTTCAAGACCGAAATATCCAGGAGACTGACTCGGTCGTTGTTGAGAAGGATCACTTGATGGCTTTCAATCTAGCCAAGAGTGTTTGCCTTCCGAAAGATATGAAGCACCACAACAAGCAACTAAACACCGAGCTGAAGGCCATCCGGTCTTCAACAAAATCAATGATCCTGGTAAGTGGCTCTCCCTTTTCTTTGTCTAACTTTTCCCAACTGTCAGTCCGGCTAAAGAGAGTTACTACTCTTTTGCAGGCCATTCAGAAGAACAATATTGCATATAAGAAAGTGCTAGAGCTCCACAAGACAACCAGGCATGCCATGGCAGATGCCGAGGCAAAGACAGCCGAACTTGAGCATGCCAAGAAGCAGATAGCCGAGCTACAGTTCGAGAGCGGTCGCTTGACCGGACTTGTTAGCTCGGCTGAAGCAGAAAAACAAAAAATTGCGGCAACGGTGAAGGACAAGTACTTGCGCGAGTTGACCAAACTTGAAGGCAAAAAAGACGCCGAAATAGCCGATCTAAAGAAGAAGGTCGGTGATGCCAACACCCAAGGTTTCAAAGAGGCGGAGGGCCTCTACATTCCACAGTGCGAGGGGGCGAAGGACTTATTCTTTAAGTGTGGCTGGAGGAGTGCTGTGGAACAGCTTGGCTGTGGGCCTGAAACCGAGGTCTACAATGCTCCACAGTACTTCATTCTGGCCTCACTAGCGGAATATGCTGCTTCGGTCCAAGAACAATTTTTGCAGGATTCAGATGATGAAGACGATGAAAACGAACAAACTGTTACTCCGGTAGCCAACGAGCAAGTCAGCGATCAATCAGCTCGGCTAGAGGCAGTGGTTGAAGACCTGACTGTTGAGCCATCGACTGATATCGTTCTGCCAGTTGCTGCTGAGACTGATCTTCCATCTGCAACCGGTGTTCAAGTTGATATTGACGCCGAAATTGAAGACCTTTTTACTTGATTTTG